GGCTGGGGGACACCACACCGGGCTGGGGGACACCACACCGGGCTGGGGGACACCACACCAGGCTGGGGGACACCACACCGGGCTGGGGGCTGCATCTCCCCTTCCCAAACACAGCTCATCCTACCCCAAACAGCAGCGACTCCACCTCAAACAGCAATGGCCTTTAAGGCTCCGTGGGCTGGAGTTTAATTTCCAGCAGGCTGTGTGTCACCTGTCACCAGCCYGGGCAAGGAGTGACGGCAGCAAATCCATCACAACAGGTCTGTCCGTGTGTCAAGCCCTCAGAGCCAATGGTTCCTGGGCTTAGTGACCAGTGTTAAAAGCCACCATGTTTTAAGCTTGGTTTGACGTGACATTTAAGCTTGACTTTTTGCAGAGTGGGGAAAGGAACAGAGGGAGGAAAGAACAGTGGAGGAGGGACAGCTCTTTTTGGTTCTGCTGTATATATGTGTTTTAACTTGTTGCTTAATCCCTCCTGACCTCTCACACAACAGAGGCTTTATAAATCTCCAAGATTGTCCACTCCACTGAAGATTAAATGTGTCATTCCCAGTGCTGGAGCTTTATTCATACAGGAGCAATAAAGATCCCTTCTCTGGACTTGGGGCTGTCCCAAAACCACTTTACAGTGCTGAAATATGGACTGGTGGTTTAACCATTTCCAAGAACCCTCCGTGACCAGTCCAAGAGCTCCCAGGTGAGTGCAGACCCTCATGCACAGTGCCTGCGTGCATTCCTGCACTGTCAGTGGATCCCAAGGGACAGCACAGCTTTYCCCCCACACCACAGATGGACAAACTGGGACTCAGGGAAGCAGCCAGGCTCAGCCAAGTGCAAAGCTGGAAATCAAATCCAGCCATTTCACCATCCCCAGCCTTTGCTGAGCATCCGACCGTGGCTCCCGYCAAGCACCGCAGGATCCTGGCTGCTTTTCAGGCTTGGCTTTTCCTTCATTTGATAAGAGCTTGTAATTGCAGCTGGCCCTCATAAAGCACAGCCTTTCCCCACGCAAAGACGCGGCTCCTTCCTCCCATAACCTCCACACACTGGAAGCAGCATTAAAGCTCTAATGCCATTACCCATCCGAGACCACGCTCGGTCGGGGCCGCTTTGATGGATCGAAGGCGGCAAAGGTGCAGACTCAGCCCGGGTTTCCTTCCCGTCCGTCTGCAAACCATTCATTTTGATGCTCTGTACATCTGTGTGCATAACCTCCGCTCCTCAGACACATTGGTATTTCCACCACATTCGAGCACTAGGGCGGCTGATAAAAATTCTCAGCACATAACACAATGCACCAAAATATGAGCAGCTTAACACTTACAGAGAATAAACGAGTAAAAGGCAGACCTCCAAAAAAAAAGACAAAGAAAAAAACCACCAAGAAAGGATTTTTATTTAAAGGGAAGAAGCCAATTAATTGAAAAATAAATGGGTAAAACATCAGCTTTTTGTCTACATCAGAGCAGCAACCCAGTGATGTGGAGCACAGGGCTGGGCGGAGGGGAGGAGGTCTGGGTTTTGGCAGCTGCCTTTACAGCAGCTTGAGAGGAGGATGCCCTGAGCCCTACACACACAACAACCTGCACTGAGCTCTAAAAGCCCATGATCTTATACTTTGATTCTGTTAATTTCAAGTACTTGAGCAAAACAGAAAGAAAAAAAAAAAAAAGAAAAATTGCCCAGAAAATGTTGCTGTCTCCCTATTTATCCACAGCTTAACTTCAAAAGGGTGCTACAGGCATAGGAGGTTGCGTAGTCTGCCTGTGATAGCAGAGGACTTGGTGATGGCTGGAGGGGCTACAGAAATATCTTGGATTCTCATCCCCGATGAGACACTGATTTATTGTGCTRTGTGACCTTGGGCGTGCTGCTGGAGCACACATCCCTTCAGTCTCTCCACAAACATGAAAAAGGCTGATCTGAGAGTGTGCTGGGCTGCCTGGTCCAGTGTGGAGCTGCTGCTCCTCACCTTCCCTGCCCAGCATCACAGCTCAGCCCCAAATCCATGGCACCACCACAGCCATGGAAGGCAAACCTCACTCCAGAGGCAGCACAGGCAGGTTTGTCCTGCCTGACCCATTTATTCCAATCTGGCACATTTTCCAGTTACAACAATTGGAGGAGTTCCCTGATTCCTGCAAGGGGTTGTTCCTCAAAGCCTAGAAAGGAGCTGTGCTTTAAGAGCAGTTCATTAAAGAGCACTGGCCTGGCTCCTCTGTGCCARGGACACGATCAGCTTTGGGCACCTCGGTCTTGTATAGAACTCGCACCAGCAGCAGCTGAAATGCAGCAGGAGAGGAGCTGAAAAGCATTACATTAAATTATACTGTTCCAGTCCTTTGTATTAGGAAGGGAATGTTAACAAGTCTCAAAGAGGCCAGGCTGACAGGCAGAGGGGCAGAAGTCACCATCATCCACAGACCTGAGATAACAGGTAGTTCCATGACACGTTCTGTCACTCTGCTTCTGTGCTCAGCACACATCTCAGCTTTGAGAGCACGTCCTGAAGCAGAAACAGTCCTGCTCTCGGGGACAACATGTGCCCAGAGCATCCCTGACCTGGCAGCAGACACAAGGACCAGCACAGAGCCTCGAGCAGCCTCATCCTCTCCATGGCAGAACGGGGATCTTCTGCTATCCCCCATCCATCACTGTCATAACCCTGCAGTTGATGTGAAATACCATTTCAGTGGCACAAGCAAGGGCTGTTGATGCAGAAACAGCACTGCTGTGCTATCCCAGCTCCAAAGGAGGCACCACAGCAGGGTCTGGGCTCCTCCTGGGGCTGATGCAGGGCTGATCAGCCTCCTCCTCCTCCTCCTCCTCCTCCTCCTCCTCCCGAGCACAGGCAGGAGCTGGGCACGCTCCTGGTGCTGCCTTTTGCAGCTCAGGCTGACTCACCCAGCCCTGACAGCACCCAGGACGGCCATTCACGTTCACATTCACATTACTGCACTGCTCTGTCTTGTTCTTTACCACTTTAACAATCAGAAATAGGACAACAGGAAATTCTTTTACAGCCCTAGACCTGCCCTAGTCAATACAAGTGTTACTGTCTGCACTAATAAAATGCTCTTGATGCGAGRAGCAGAGCCCAGGTAATAACCACTGCACACACGTGACATGGTGAGTGGCTGGCAGCCAGAACAGGCATTTCCCCAGCCCTGTGCTCATGGCAGGGCTGAAACTGCTGCCTGATGGGGCCAGGAGGGAGGCAAAGGGCTGGGGAAACAACAGAGGGGCACCTGAGGGTAGGGTCACTTCTAAAATCTTCCCCAGGTACAGAACATCCTGGCAGAAGCCTTTCACCAAGAGGTGAGCAGTTATCCTGAAGTCAGACTTGGCAGGAGAAAACATGACATTACTGAACACAAGCTATTGCATAGCAAATATGAAATCACATAAAATCCACAGCCACCTCTGGAGCAAATATACCCCTCAACAAGTAAAGCAAAATCCATGTTAAGCTCCAGATTTCAAAGCAAAGCTCTACTTGCAGCTCAGAAGACCAGCACAAAGGCAACTGCTGAGGACCAGCAGCTGTAGGAAACCTGGTGGGAGAGATGAAAATCCTCAGCCCAGCCAAGACCCTCAGCACTTCCCAATCCCAGCATGAAAGCCCTTGGTCAGCAGAGCAGGATGCCCAAAAGCCAGGGCTGGCAGAGGACATTTGGTGGGCACTGGAGTCTCCAGCTCCATACAGCATGAGGGACTGAGGGTGTACACAATGTCCAGGGTGTACACAATGTCCAGGGTGTACACACCCTCCAGGCAGGGTGTACATACCATCCAACACCCCCAGAGCTGCAGCACAGCTACACCGAGCAGCGAGCGAGGTGCCCGTTCAGCTCTCAGAGCAATTGAATTATCTCCAGTGGAATTGCAGCGCTGGCCAAAGAGACAAAGTTAAATCGTAGCAAGGTGCAAGTGCCTGGCAATGTAATATTCCTGATAAATGGCCAGATGACATGTGCTGTTATACAATCTAAGGTGCAATTTGGGCGATGACAATAGTCCCTGGAGTTTCCATTTCCAAACAGCCGCTCGGTTCAATCCAATCCATGTCACAGCAGCTTTGCTGGGGTGAGTAAGTAGAGCTCATTTGTGCTATTACATGGAGAGCAAGGMAGAGGAGCAGAGGAGTGTCTTGAAAATGAAAAATGAGAGAAAAAAGAAGAGTGACTGGAAGAACCTGAGCCTGCTGGGATGCACAGGGGGTGGGTGAGTGTGGTGATGCTGCGTGGTCCCAGCCCAGAGCCCCCAGCCCAGAGCCCCCAGCCCCGTTGGCAGTGCCCATCCCTGTCCATGCCACCACTGCCCTCGTG